GTCAAACCGTGATTAGAAAGCAAATACGTGATGTAGTTAAAAGAGGTTAGAAGTGAATAATGTCAGATTGTGAAATGATGGTTTATAATTAGCACATAGTATGATGTTAATACCTGGATTTCCTGCTATAGTTTCAGTTTGCTGACTCTGGGGACAGCATCTTAGAGCAACTGATCCATGCTGTCAGGAAGACATTCAAACTGGAACAGCTCAGGCATACAGTATAGAGGAATTTGAGTTTCTAAACACACTTTCATTTCCTCCAAACAATTGTTTCGTTAGGTCCTTAGTTATTTATAGGAAAGTTTATGCTTGATTAGAATGAGCTGGACACTTTTCCTATCCAGTGCTTTCAGAAATAAAACAGATGTGTGAGCTATCTCAGTTTGAACTGATAGAAGGAGAAATAAAACAGCTGAACCTAGACTATACTTGTCTGCTAAACTCTGGCAGTAAGATAATGCAGGGGAGACAAAAAGCGGTAGGAAACAGCCCATAGATAATCTACTTAAGATCAGTCTTTTCTCAGACGAAAAACATTTTCCAAAATAGAACAGACAGCCTATACAATGTTGGCTATTTATTTGAAAGAGAAAAAAAATGGATCTGGAAACTAAATTTTTAAGAGTGCTAATTTTCTCTGCCCAGTTTGGGAAGAGAAGATTAAATAAGCTTTTGTGGCAAATGCCGTACTTCATCACTTGCACATGCACCAGATGTTGATTCAGAACATGTCAGAAGATAAGTAACTGATTAATATTTTTATGCTTTTCCTCCCCCACTCCTGATGCAGAGCAGCTTTGTGAGATTCATAAACACAGTAAAAGAACATTTGAAAATCCCCTTTGCACCCATTTGTGTTTATATTGCTACTATATCCATTTTGGAGAGGTTTTTCTCTGGCATCTGAATGGCTGGTGCCTCCTGCTGCAATGAGCGATGGTATTGATTGGTGCTCCAGTTAAAATTGGTTCAGTCAAACTCCTATGTAACACGGAGAGGGAACTGAACCTGAATAATTGGTTCATGTAAACAATATAATTTCGTATAGGTACTGGGCTAAATGAAAATAATCCTTTCGTAATTAACTTGAAATAGTGATGGACTGGGCTTAGGGTCTGATTTATTGATCCCCTTGCACTTAACAAACTGTTGTGTTGTAGCTGGGCTGGAAGTTATTGATAGATTTATGGTCTCAGGCCAGGGAGCTGGGCGCAGAAGGCAGGGGATGAAGATGACTGACTTTGATCTGGCTCACAGTACTCAGTTGGAGACCATGGTATACGAAGATTTGTGGGAGTGAGGGATGCTTTTGAGCCCCATAGTTTGCATTCATAACAAAGGCAAACAAGAAGCAAGGGGAAAATGAGTGCAGGAAAAGTCAGTATCTCCTGTCCTATTTGCAGATAGGTAGGAATGTGTCTGTTTTTGAGGGCTTGGAAGAAATCAAATGCATTTTTGGACTCGTATTACAGAAGTGAAGTCTGTCCTAGAAAACATGAACTCCACCTCCAGCCAAAAAAACCCCTCCCAACTCTAAACCCAGCTTCTAGGGTTGTTTTTTTTCCCGATATTGTAGTCAGCAAAACAGTAGGAATATACATTTGGCTTCACATCCAGGTATGCACATGTTGGGACTGTGTTTTGTAGTACATAAAGAGGATTTGGATGGGAACTGAGTAAATTATCCAAGCTTTCTGGCCTTACTACTGTGTAGATTCTTACTTGATTTGAATATTTAATTGAGTAAGATTCCTTTGTCTTTTTTGAAAATGTTATTTTGTTTTGAAAATCTACTGTAGTCTTTGTTCCCTACTTTTTAAAAGAGGTTTTTGGTTCATTGAGTTATAATAAATTCCATAGGATTGGGTAAAATCACTGAGCTATTTCTCGGAGATTAACTTTCTTGCCAGTATATGTTTCAGAAAACATTTGCTATCACATCTCTGAATTCCCAGGGAATGTGTTAATCAGCTTTATAGCTTTTATCAGAATAATATTTGAAGTGAGTTCAATGGATCGACTTTTGCTGATGCTTCTCATTACTTTTTCTTCACATTTAGTGAATTGATCAATCTCTACAGGCAGCTTTGTCTTGCTGGATGATTGAGCCTATGTAAGGCTTTGTGGACATGCCTAAAGCAGTAGACTTTATGCCAGATATAAAGACTGATTGTGAAAATAAAACTTACGTGACTAAGTTAACAGCTATGATGCTGAAAGCTATTGCTTTGCTGCTGTATGATTATGTCTCTTTCTGTGTTTGATCTAATGACCCTTTAATGTATATGGAAGAGTCTGTAGACAGGCAAGTTGCTGGCAAGTAGACAGTAGGCAGTCTTTTCTCTAACCCCCAATTTTTTAATGAGTAGCTGGGACAGCTACTCATTTTTTAATGGGACAGCTTCAATAGAAAGGTTGGAGAATGCTCTCCTCCACATAGCAGCTTATAGCTAAGTGGTAGGACATGCCCAGCGAGGGTGAAGAAGCAGGCTTGGGTCCCCTCTGACAGAGCAAGGAAAGGAGCCTACTTTTCCTGTTTCCTGAACAAGTGTTCAAGCCATTAGACTATTGTATAAAAGGGAGCATGACCCCATTTCCTGATATGTTTTAAAAGAAAACACTGTCCCTCAAAGAAAGGACAGAAATGTCTGCGTTCAGGTGAGGGTTTCAGATGACATGACCCAAGGGAGAAGGGTATTCATGCAGCCATGAATAAAGACATGCTGCAGTGCTCAGCAGTTCTTACTGTTGCTTCATATTGTGTGTACTACCTTTGAGGAGTTTCCTGCTCAGCATGGGCCTGGTTCTGGAGCTTATTGGCACAGATCTACCTCCTCTTATATTCAGCCATTAAAGAAATTCAGAAAGTGCAAAAGCATGAATTATTTTTTACATCCAGTACCCTCATTTTGATTATTTCATGGTTTTAGATCTAGACTGACATAAAAGAAGACAAATTTCTGAAAAAATGGACTGATAAAAGCCATCCTAAAGCTTCTTCATTGTATTTCAGTGCATCTGGGGGAAAGAAAAAAGGAAAAAGAAGAAATTCCTGCATTATCTACTACCCCACAGACTAATGAGAGGTTGTCAGCAGGTTTTTTCTTCTATGGTTCTAGACTTCCAATATTGTAACAGTTGTCCTATACCACTCAGCTTAATCCTTTGTCATACATGAATCACAGAATGATTTGGGTTGGTAGGGACCTTAAAGGTCATCTAGTTCCAGCCTCTCCTGCAGTGGGCAGGAACATCTTCCACTAGACCAGGCTGCTTAGAGCCCCATCCATCCTGGCCTTGAACACTTCCAGAGATGGGGCATCCACAGCTTCTCTGGGCAACCCGTTCCAGTGCCTCACCATGCTTATAGTGAAGAATTTATTCCTAATATCTTATTTAAACCTATCCTCTTTCAGTTTGTAGCAGTCACCCCTTGTCCTATCACTACATGCCCTTGTAAAGAGTTCCTCTCTTAGAGAATTTTGTAGATCCCCTTTAGGCACTGGAAGGCTGCCATAAGGTCTCAGAGCCTTCTCCAGGGTAAACAGCCTCAATTCTCTGCCTGTCTTAATGGGACAGGTGCTCCATCCTTCTGATTGTCTTCATGACCTTCATCTGTGCTCACTCCAACAGGTCCATGTCCTTCTTATGTTGGAAGCCTCACGTCTGGATGCAGTACTCCAGATGGGGTCTCATGAGAGCGGAGTAG